AACAGATGCACAGCATATCAAAAGAAAAACAACAAACAAGCAAACTAAATCATAATCGTTTTTTTCAGGAAAGTGGATTGCAATAGGAATCTAAAATACTTGCTAAAAATAGAAAAAAGACATCTCTCAAACCACACAGAGGATTCTTAATAATTTCCAGACAAGGGATCAAGGCATCAGATTAAACATGGCAACCATGCAAAGACCGTACGTAGTTCCAGAGAGGATCAAGGATTCCAGGAGGTTCAGGCACAAATCTTGGGAGTGTTTCTTTCCTTTGGCGCCCAAATTGCGAGGGAGGATTGGGGAGATGAGAGCCTATTCTGCCTCCTGAGAATGAGGGTGACTTGATGGGAACCACTCCTGGGAGTTATGTGTAAGGAAATTGCAGGAGTCCCACTTCTTTCTCAGGCCTAGAATATTTGTAAGGAATCTATGAATCACCGTAAGGAAAAGAACCCACATAGATTGGCAGAAACTCTGTCCTAACTGAAAAATCCCACTGAAACCACTGGAATGATTTGAGCCATTCCAATTTTGGTCAGGAGCAATTGGACGTATAGCCAGGAAATGGTTTTTGGCCAGGAAGACTTTTCTCACCCAGGCAACTGATCAGGAAGGGAGTACTACAAGAGAAAACATCAAGGCGTTTGGCCTGGCCCCTCAAAGATTAGTCATAACAGAAATCTCCCCAAGGAAAAGCTTGGGTTTAGCTTTCCAAACCATTCGCAGATTCTACTTCACTCTTAAGTTAGTTCTTTATTATTCATTCTTTCTACGACACATGGTTGATTCACTAAAATTATACATGGATTTGATGCGGTACTTTTTTTTAATTGTCTAACTAGACCTCTATAAAACTAGTCCTGGATATGCAAAGGAAACTGTCATCCATTGGTATGAGAGAAACAGGAGAATTCCTGCATCCACTTGGATCTAATTTTAATCTCAAGAAACAGCTTTTAAAGCTCTCAAATGATAATAGTATTTGGTATTCCTCCAGACACAGCTGGCTTGCAGTCAGAGGTCCTCCTGGACTCACAGATCCTTTTTGAACAGCATGTGGAGACCAGGAGGGCCTTTGTACAATTTGAACTTGTGTCAGTTCCAGCCATTTCTGCAACACGGTCACTCATTAGCAGTGATGCTGGTTGCCCAAGTAAGACATTGGCTACCAGTTAGCTTCCAGGTGCAATTCAAGATGCTGGTTGTTATTTTTAAAGCCCCACATAGCTCAGAGCCTGATTATTTCTGAGGTTGCCTTATCCAGGTTGAATCTGCCTATCCGGTGAAGTCAGAGAGAAAAAGGTTGTTGGAGGTCCCATCGCCAAAGGAATACCAACTAGAGAGATGGCTGTTGAGCATTCTTAGTGATGGCTCCTCTCCTTTCAAACAGCCTTTCCCCCGATATTCAAACCAGGCACAGTTATATTTCTCGCACAGATGGAACTTGCAATTGACACCCCAATCAACAGGGAGGAACTAAGTTTAGTTGAAGGATGCTGCTTCCTGCTTTCCCTTCTGGGTAGGATGATATCAGGGCATGGCTTCAAAGAGGACAGTCTGCCTCTCACAGCAGAAGGCAGGGTAGCATTCATCCCTGTCTCTCTCTCTGCATGGAAAGCTTCATCTGCACCTATTCCTACCTCCTGGGTCTGCAAGCCCTCTTACAGAAGCACCATTTTTCCGACACCCCAACTTTCTCTCCTTAAGTGAAAGGATTAGATAAGGGCAAAGCAAAGCTAATTCTGATAGTAGTTTTGCTGGAACATCTGCAGAATAGGTTCTGTTACCTCTGACCATACCAAAGGGGTGTGTGGTAGATAAAGCAGAATTGATCTTGCCAGTCAGGTTCCTTTTACCCAGCAGTAAAAACCCTCTGGGCATGTTTGGCACCAGGGCAGCAGACAACAGTGAGCAGAAAGAACAATTTGGGAGGAAGCCAAAGGATTTTGTTCTAGATCCTATAGGCTGGATGGGCCTATTTGTCAGATTGCATTAGGCCCTCAGGAGCAGTTCTCCATCCTTCGTGTGCAAGATAATGAAAATGTTGGCTTTGAACTATGCTTTATTATGAATCATAGCAGGAGCAGAGAATTAGGTGGGGCATTATGTTCTATAATCAGAACTTCTTTACTGTTTCTTGCTTCCTAAATGGGCCAGTGCTGTGTCACCTATAAAGTATAACAGATTCTGTACCACAAATGTGACTTGTTTACAAAGTGGACTATGGAGAGAATGTCATATAGTGACATAAAAACAATTAAATTACCATTAGTTCCAATTTAGCATGTTCAACTGCATGGTAAACAATATGGCTGCACCATGTTCAGGGTTCAGTTCCAAACGGTCTTTTGGAGGGTGAAAGAATGCAAGCATAGCATCTGTTTGCAACTCTTGAAATTAGCTGGGTCTTTTCTTGGGATCACGTGGCAGCTGCAGAAGGCAACAGCCCAGTCACAAGAAAAGCCGCTGCTGCTTTGAAGAACTGCAGATGGATGGCATGTTCAGGATCCTGCATGCTCTAAAGGCCTTTTCTGAATTAATTCCCAAGTGCTGCACAGCTCTACTAAATATGCACAGAAACTGTTTTTCATACTGAGGTTAGAATCAGCCTTAAATGAATAGGAAATGTATTCAAGGTGATCAGGTCGTATCACAAATGCAGCGAGCACTGGATTTTCTAGTACTATATTCCATATATCCTCCAACATGTCACAGGCAAAGTAAAATAGGAAGATGGTTGTAAACACAAGTTGTCCTATCAAGAATGACCGCCCGATACCATTATTGTCCATTGTGGAAGGCCTTATTTTACTGCACACTCTACCATTTAGTTTGCAACCAAGAGATAGTTTTGCTAGCCCTGTCCTTTGAACTTACATCTTCTGGATCAATTTCCCTCTTACACAATAGCACATAGCATTATATATTGTGTTTTAAATACATAGTTTCAGTCATCCATAACAGCCAATTTAGGTAATACAGTATTATCACCATCTTGCAGGAGGGTAGGGGCTGAAGCTGGCAGAGAAGGAAAAGCCTACCTAGGGCCATAAATGAGTTTGGCATTAAATAATTAAATGTTACCTATATTTGCAGATTAAATGTTACCTATATTTGCAGATTAAAGGATACAAATTCCAAATTGACCTTATTATTTTTTTAAAATGTAGCTATCTGAACATATTTTTTTGCTGTTTCCCCACCCACCCCAAATTCAAGATTTGCCACTTAATTTTACATTTTCAGAAGCTAACATCTGCTTTTCAAAAATGTCTGCTTCGTAGAATGTAAATTTAGTTGGACTTCCAGCAACCTTTAAACTCTTTATAAATTATAAAATATATAACCCTCTGCAGCTTCACTTGAAACATTAGCATTTATCGTTTCATTCTGAACGGGAATGATAATCCAGAAATGGGCCTAGAATAATAGCCTTGAAAACCACATTTCAGATTCATTTCATTATGATTGCAACTATTTCCAGAGATACCAATTTGCTTAATTAAACTTTCCAATTTGAATGAATTCACAAGAGAAACACGGATTTACACTGCTGATCTCCCAGACTATATCAGTCTCTTCCTCCTGCTCAGCTTGGAGGTCTTTACTTAATCCCTGCAGAGCTGCCTGTTCCCTTCAATTCATTTTGCAAAGAAAGAGGTACACTGCTGTGTGACATGGCAGACTCGTATTGGAAACCTTTTCCCAGCAGCCCATCCTGAGACTGTTACTGTTTAAGATGGACTCTGGCTATGTTTACAAATATCTACCCATATGAAGTAAACATTCATTTGTGGTAGAACTGGAAACATATGGAGGTGGATCAGCAGAGTAAAAAAAAGATGGGCAGAAAGATAATTGGGCATGATGTTCATGTGCCCAAGTGGCTGCCCAGTGCTCAAGAGAATATCTCCCAAAACACTCCACAGTGACCAAAGTAATTCCTGGGTACATGTTTCACTCTGCTTTTCACAACTCTGCTCAACTGAAACACAGCAGGTCTTTTCCAGAAAGGCAAGACAGCCGCAACTTAGTTTTTGCTGTTTATTCCATCTGCATATCCAGTGTTTTTTCCTCCCCACCGAAACATCCTGGGGTGGGGGGCAGTGTTGTTGAAAAATGTGCAGGATCTGCTCTAGCAGGACATCCCTTGGGCATTTAGGACTCATTTGGGATCTATGCAGAGGCCAGCTTTAATAGCTTTCCTCAAAGAAATTTGTCATGGAATGTGCCATTTTCTGAGGTATGAAGGTACACGCTTGTTTACAGGATCTTTACAGTACTGAATCTGGCACTGTCCCTTCTGAGGATCATCTCCTTTCACATTTTTTAGTTCCAGCCATTTAGAAAAACTACAAGGAGAACATGAAAGAGTGATTTAACTGAGGAATCCCTAGGTCTGTTTGGTGTATCTTTGGAGTCAATACTGACATTCCTCATCAGCTCACCCCACTGCTTTCTGCCCCACTCCTCATCATTCAAACAGACCTTATCAAAGCACAGCAGCTAGCAAAATGAGGAAAAATTATGGCTTTCTCTCTAAATGAAGGCAAGAGCATCTAGATAATCCTAGAGGCAATTGCACAGAAAACAGATTTGACTCCTTAAAACAGAGAATAAAATTGCAAAAGAGAGAAGACACAGACCAATACATTCATAAAGAGGGGAAAAGAGGTACGTTTGGATGCAGATGTAAGGATTTTCTCTTTGTCCCCCTCCCTCTCCCCCTCCCTTCAAACAATAAAGTCTTCAATGAGCACCTTCACCCCCCCCCCACACCCACACCAATCTATCAGCCCATCCTGCAGTGCCCACTGAGACTCTGGGTTGAAGTCGGCTGCCTTCTGTCCACTCAACAGATGGAACTGTCCCCACTAAGGCATTCTCTCCTGGTTGCCCCCACTTCTTCGGTGTGCTCCATCCAGATAATATACACAGAATTCAATTCAAATGGTAAAAATCCTTTCTGCAATAAAAGAAAGCAAAGTACTTACCCCTGAGTAAATATAGAATTAAGAATTCCAGGACCTTATTTGCATATTGAACTCATCTTCTCATTCTGCTAAACGTCCCTGGTTCCCCCTGGTGCTTTTCTCCACAGTGAAGGAAGGGAAGCTGGGATTCTGAATAGTATTCTTTTTTTTTTTTCCAAAGACACGATCCCTCCAACTGGCTAGGAGCAGTGAAGAACTGAGCTGCCTTTTGGTGGAAGAAGCTCAAAACAGGATTGTCTCTAATATTACAATCAAGGCCTCCTCACTCACTGACCCAAACTGTAAATGAAAAGCAGACTTGCTCAAACAGCAAATGGTTGTTTCTGCTGGCCCCTGTGTGCAAGATGATGTCAGAGTTTAGCGTTGCCTCCATTCCAGTTTTACATGAGCTTTCTGCATACATAAAGTACCTCCTCCCGTCACCTTTTTTTTAGGAAAGGAGTTCTAACGTTTTCTGTTTTACATGTTGCCACAAGATGATGCATCAGCTGTTTTTAGGGAGTAGAAGACAGGAAATGCAATTCATTTTTACACATTTCACTGTTTAAATGTTGATTCTGCATTGTTTATTTAACTGTAAGTACCGGAGTCTCTGTTTCTGAGACTTCAAATAACACCCTCCTAATTGTATCTGAATTTTATAACATTGGAAATGTACAACTGTCTGCTCTCCTGTCTGAAAAATATATGATATGAAAAAGAAAAAATAACACTAATGACCTAAACACTATATTATCAGGGAGTTAAATCTAAACTTAGAGCAGACTCATCAAAATACTGAACTTTGTCATGACTAACTCTGGATCTAACCCTAGAATGTAAACGATTTTCTGTATTTTTGGGGGTACAAGTGATCATTCTTGTAATGAGGAGGAAATGATATTTTGGTGAAAACATTCTTATCTGGGTTCTTATATCAAAATAATATGAAATACCTTGATATTGAGGGCAATGCCTTGAGAGTTTCTTGATTTTAGGTATATATTTTTTAGTTTG